AGCTAACCTCGCCTATGTGTGTAGATAGATACTGTGTGAGAGAAACTGTGCTAACCTCATCTGTGTGTGTAGATAGATAGTCATTGATTATGCCAGTTATGCAATAATTGCTGCCTACATTGACGACGCACTACTCAAACTTGTTCAATAAATGCAATGTTCAATGGGAAAAAAAAATCACTTATAGTTAAAATGAGCGAGCAACGCGCAAATTATCTTCAAGACACTACGGCTGTTATGGTGTATGATTTTTGGGATTATTTTAAAGCGCCACTCTGGCTCTTGCCAGGAGCCGCAGTACAGCCCGGCATTAAATAGGGTCTAATGTATGAACGCGGTTTCCGGGACCTTTCCACGGGTGATCCTCATCCACATGGTGGCACTTTGTGTCATCGGGTGTTTATCGCTTGTGTGATGTCCTGGTAGGGTAAAATGTACTACTACTGTTATGGTTAGCAACACTGTCCCAGTAAGGGTCGCAATTTCTTTTTATTTTGAAGCACTATTCCGGCTGTTGCCAGGGGCCCTAATATAGGCCAACCTGTGAGTTGAACGGGGTTTCTGGGAATTGTCCGCGGGTGATCCTCATCGGAATGTTGGTAATTTGTGTCGCCGAGTTTTTATCGCTCAGTGTAATGTCCTGGTGAGGTTGAACGTCAATCAATGAGCTGCAATGGGTGATCCAGTACTGAACAAAAGCGACGATATCAATACCGTCTTCATCAGCACTCACCACGAAGACGACAGAGAGCGTGGAATGAGATTGTCAATTAGAGGGACAAGAAGTTTGATTAACGAACATATAACAGGCATCATTAGTCGCTTTACGCTTTAAAACAATGGCTCTCAACCTTCCCAGTGACGCGACCCTTTAATACAGTTCTTCACACTGTGCGATACAATTATTTTCGTCGCTACTTCTTAACTAGCTCAATGAATATGTGTTTTGCGATGGTCTTTGGTGACCCCTGTGAAAGGGTCGTTAGACCCACACACAAAAAGGGTGGCGACCCACAGGTTGAGAACCTCTGCTTTAGAGGAAAAGATCGAAACACCCGTTGATCTGTCCGGAGTGCTGTGGTGTTAATCCTCACTTATCACTGATCACTAACAGATCAGATCTGAAACTTCTTTCTATCATGTATTATTTTAACTAGACAAGCAATATTTGCTAGATAACTCAAACAGGGCGGCATATGTGACTTCATTTACTGACATGCAGCAGTCAAAATAGCAGTATACTGGCACGTTTTATGTTTGAAAGCCGCCGTGGTGTAGCGGCTAGACACTCGCTTACGGAACAGAAGGATGTGGGTTTAGGCCTATCGGAGCCGGACTTCTTTTTTTCCAGAAATGACCTTGGCTCACAGGTTGACCCAGCCGTGAGTGGATACCAGGCAAAGTCATGGGAGTAATGACGGCCGGTGTGATATTGACCACATCACCTCACCCCGGACGCCTGCATCTCTGTGCCAGTTTTACGGAACCTCACGCAAGAATCGTGCCAAACATCCTCCTGACGCACCACGGACAATGATCAGAACTGGCAGGAGATCTCGAAGTTGGTAGGTCCCAGAGATACGTGGTCTAGAAAGTCTCTGGTACATAGCAGCCCATTGCCAGTGCATGTGAGATAATTTCCATAAAACGCATTTGGAATGTATGTGAAGTTTATTGGCCCAGAGTCCTACTACAGGCAACTAAGTTTAAAGAGTGTGTCTATCGACAGTTCTACTAAATTACAGCCAATGTTCAAATGGCATTAGTTATAAGAATGTGCCCGTTTGGAACAAGCAACGGAATCAGTAAAGAAACAAGATTATTATGGCCTGGAGAGAATGAGGCACCTGGGTGTAACCAGAGGGTCTGGCCTGCTCACTACACTCAGAGGAAAGGCAAGACGGATATATAACTAGCTTTTGACCGGTACCATCCGTATTGGAACTATGCGCTGGCTGCTGAAGATGAGGACGGAGTAGGCATGGGTATGCGCCGAGTGCTGTGAGGCCAATTCTTGTCTCAACTGAACTCAACTCAAGTCGTTCTAAGACCACAATTGAAGACGCAAAAGGTCCAACTATCCGCTGCTATTGACCGCACTCATTGAGTGTCACGACCGTTAAAAGGACTCATGCGTGATGTATTATTTCAATATACTGCCAGGATAAGTGTTCTGAGACATGTTTCAACCGTAAGGTGCACATATCGCGACTATGCTGTAAACAGGCACAACGAAATTACGTTACCCGGACGAAAGGGGTAGAAGAAGAAATTCGTCAACCACCCACAAGTACCCCCGAAAAGGTAATCTGTCACTGGATATACTTCAATAGCTTGGAACAGAAAAAATACACTGAATGTGCTTAATTCTGGCCTCAGATGTAAATACGGAGCTTAATGTGGCATGCCATACATATTAGCTAACAGAGCTCTCATAGCTAACCTTTAGTTGATCGTAGATGGGCCGGGGTTTTTGGCTGTCTCGTCGCCAGTCTATAGGTGTTTGTTGACTGGTCAGATACATGCGCTTTCAAACAGTAGATCTTTAGTCTGCTTGTATATCGACTGGAATATTGGTGTCTTCACGTAGTGGTTATTTGGTCTGCCGTACATCGACTGAATACTGGTGTCTTCCCACACTGGATATTTGTTGTCTATACTTCACATGGATGCTGGAGTCCTCTCACAGTTTATATGTTATATGTATATACATAGGCTGGAAGCTTGAATTCACACACTGTATATTTGGTTTGTGTATGCATTGAATAGACACTGGCCTTTTAATACAGCGTATATAAAAACTGAATAAGTTAGTTTTCTCACATTAAACATTTAGTCTGTTTATTTAACGACTGAATCCTTGAGTGACATTTAAAAGTGTGCCCATATAAACATTGGAGACATTGTTGTTAGTGTCGAGACTATAAAGCTGTCGTCTGCTCAACTTACACAGCCATGGTAAGTGTTATGGAACCACTGATCATTTGATCGTTGTTGAGTCTGACCATGAAACAAATAATGTATGCCTTCAGAGATGCCCCCTCTTTACTTGAAGACGACGTCTACATGTTCAATGTGTAGGTCATCTCTTGGCGTTTTTTGTTTCTTCTTCACCTGCAGGCAGTGGCGATTATGACTCTCCAATTTTCTCTTCTTCTTTTTCTTTTGTCAAAATCTGCTTGTGCCGCTAGGCGTCGCAGTCTATCAGATGTCCGGCAACCGAGCCAGGGCGCGCTCAGTCGCTTCATATGCCGTGATGTTATGAAGTCTCAAGTTGTCCGTCACTCTTTCAATCCATCTTCTTCTTGGTCTTCCCCTGCCAATTTTCTCTGCTATCTAATATTTTGATGACATCGGTACTATTGATCTAAACTGTCAACTAACTGTCTAAACAAAAGCAAAATCAAAATAGACAAATTCCTAGAATGCACCATATAAATGTTAACAGATGATTTTTTTTTTTTTTTCATTTTAAACTTAGGCCCTGGAGCACCGGCTCTTCTGACTCCGGTAATACTTTTATCAACAAAAACAATCAGATTCAGAGGTTCTTGAAAGAATGCGAATGAAAAGAGAATAACTGAGAGAAATAAAAAAGGAGACAATTTTGGCCGCATTAAAAGATATAATACACTTTTAAAGACCATAGTTGATAAAAAGGTTGAGAGCAAGATAGCAAGAGGTAGACAACGTTACAAGTGGGAAGAGAACATCAAGAGATAGACGAACAGCAGTCTGAAAGAGTGTACAGCCGAGGCAGGAGATACAAATTAATCCATTGAACTCCCCGTGTGGGTTCCGAGGCCCCATTGTGGGTAAACAGAAATTGACCCACTGCCTACCCAGAAGCATGTCGTAAAAGTCGACTAACTGGGGAGCATTTTTTGAAGTCGGAGTGCGTCTGCCTGAGAGGCAAGGAACCAACAGTCTGCGTTCAAGTGAATCAGATCTGTAAAACATGCGCACGCAACACTCAGGTTCTGGGGCAGGTCTGCAGTTCAGAAGTGAACGAACAACCAGAACTTTCCGCCAGAGTGTACAGCTGGTGAACGCGAAGAAGAAGAAGTATCCCTTGAACTGTGACTAAAAAGCTTCACGAAAAAAGGAGAAGGGGTGCACAAAACAAGCAAATCGATATTTCGGCCGGGGCCTCTCTCGACATGAATAAACTACACAATAACAAAAAGGAAACAGATAGAGCGTGTTCAAGGTCCATTGCCACAAACCTTCACGGCGGAGAAAGCGCCTAACTAATCAATTGAATACTTAGATCCGGTATAGCAAAAAATGCTAGAGTTGGTTCAGAACCGTCCTAAAAGCATTATAGGCCCCTGGGCAAACGAGTGTGCTGTGGCCCCTACGACAACCACTCACTGGACTGACATGCTTATCTATGGCTAGTCACTTCCATACACAGATTAGCATGAGATCCTTTTGCCCGTGGAACCTACGGGCAAGTGCCCAATCAGCCCATGCCTTGAGACGGCCCTGAGTTGGTTCTGCAACTTCCTGCAATAGATACACAAAAATAAATAATGAATGAATGAATGCATTAAGAACCGACATCACTGCACTTGGGTCATTCCCACAAGTGCTCCGTCCCATTCTTCAGCAACCAACTAAGAGTTGTCATGATGAATAATACCATTTACAACCTGATTAGAAGCCCATATCTGTTTCTCCTACAATGTTCAATACCTTCCAGAACCTCTACACACACCCGCTGAACTAGTCTTTTGGTGTATGGAGTCCCTATCAATTCTTTTGCAGCGTCCACTTGATCCCATACAGCCTTCACCACATCCACTTTATCATATAGTATCTCCACGCCTAGAGGAGTGACAGAAGCTAATCTATCAGCCTGCTCGTTGCCTCGCACACCTGAATTTCCTGGACAGAAAATCCATGATATGCTCTTGGTCTAGGCACACAGCTAACACAACACTTGTAGGGTACAGTTAAATAAGATGACATGAAAACATGACTGTTACATCTTGCAGGGCCAACAGCCATCGATCAAGGACAGCGACGACCGGTCATCTCGCAGAGACAGCGAGGAGGAGGTAACCTCCAGAGCTAGCTCAGATGAGGTTGAAAGAGGGACATGGGGCCACAAGGCGGAGTTCATCTTGTCCTGTATAGGACTATCCGTCGGCTTAGGCAACGTCTGGAGATTTCCTTACTTGGCTTTCAAAAATGGCGGAGGTAATGTCACATCGTGTAGTAGAATGTCTGCGTGTTTATGATATTGTCCGCGGTGTTGGAAGGGACTAGTAGGGGATAGGGGAGGCGGGGAGGGGGAGGTTGCAGCCGCACTAGGTATCGTCACTGAGGGAGTGACATATATTTTTTAAAAAGGGGGTTGGGGGGGGGGTGGGGGGAGATATACAAAAACGTTTCGCACGGGTACTACCTAACCTTGTAATGCACTGGATATTGTCTCTTGTTTATGAATCGATATGTGACTAATTATAGTTGGTTGTAACACTTAATTCTCTCTCTCTCTCTCTCTCTCTCTCTCTCTCTCTCTCTCTCTCTCTCTCTCTCTCTCTCTCTCTCTTTCTCTCTCTCTCTCTCTCTCTCTCTTTCTCTGTCTCTCTCTCTCTCTCTGTCTCTCTCTCTCATTTTGTTGCTGTTCCTTTTCACCTTCTCTCCCTTCCTCTTTTTTCCCTATTTAATTGTACTTCCGCCTTTCTCTCTCTCTCTCTCTCTCTCTCTCTCTCTCTCTCTCTCTCTCTCTCTCTGTCTCTTCTTTTCTTTTCCTATCCCTGTTTCAACACCAGGTTAGGACTAGGTGTAGTCAGAACGGGTTCACTAATATAAACTTTTTAGAAGGCTGAACATGATATAAGGCATGTGTCCTGTTGGACTGGCATCCAGTTGCAACTTAAAGGCGCTCAACAACCCAGAGCAAACAAACAACAGAAAGACAGGTCGACTATGGGTAAACAAACTTTGAAAAGAAACATATTTTTGTTGCCGCCTTCTCTTTCTTCAGGTCTTGTATTAATCTATTGTATTTTTTTATATTTTACAACGATTTGTATCTTGTTTCACAGCCGCTTTCGTCATTGCCTATTTGATTCTACAAATCCTAATTGGCAAGCCTATGTATTTTATGGAGCTAGTTATGGGTCAGTTTTCTGGAAAAGGACCTACCAGAGTCTGGGATATGAATCCGTCAGCTAAAGGTGGGCAGGCTTTTTGACAAAAGATGTAATAATGTGTTTATTCATGCTAACAGTTTAAATTATTTCACTTAATAGTGAAACTCAAAGAACTCTACATTATATAATTTTAAAACTAAGTTATGTATTTGGAATTACAGTGTGTGTATGTTTTTTTTTTTTTTTTTTCAATTATAACATACGCCAGTGTAAGTCTGGAAACCACTAAAGTCATGAAATGAAAGTTCAAAGCATTCAAAAATAAGCTTGAAGAGATTAAAGAACAAAGAATTTGGTGAACTGAAGAAAATTGCTAAAATAACAGAAATGTCCGGGCACCCACTGGGATTGACAGTTGTGAGTAAAGTAAAACACCCTTTTCCATGCCTTCAGGCATATTGGGCATATAGGGCTAGACCTATATATTATAGACCACTCTTCACTTAGTGATTGACATGGTCAGCGTCATGCCAGCCACCTTTACTTCCCAGGACTTCAACTGGTACCCACTCAAGGCTAGGTCAACCTGGAAACCAATGTCCATTTTGAAAAGAAGAAAAAATCTGGCTCCATCGGGACCCGAACCCACAACCTTCCGATCCGCAGGCGAGCGTCTAGCCGCTACACCACAGCGACTCCATCGCAGTTCTAAGAGAAAGAAAATGTCGGTATACTGGGCACACACCGAGGAGAAACGAATAGAGAATCACCCCAAATGAGATTGACCAAAGGTGCTTGACCGATTTCCATTTATGATAAATTAAACAGTTGAATTGAAGGAATCAACTGCGAGCACTATGTGATCGTATAAAGGAATAGAAGGACAATGCTGATGATGACGACTGTTGCAAGCAGGAGGCAACTAAACCTTTAGTTGATATCTGTCAGTTAGGGGGTTGTCAATTTTTTTTTTTTTTTTAGTGAATGTAGTAGCTCCTGCAGACCATGTTAGATTCATTCCCCCAATTCTCATCCTTTCCAGGTAATTGAGTCACAGGCCTAAAGATTGACACCCACTTATTAAAACATTGACTAAATTTGTATACAACCGACGCAAATCTAGAAACCCTGTTCATCTGCATTAACCAGTTATATCTGCGCACTCTATCATCGAATAACCTGCTATCGTATGTGACCGTGTGTCTTATCTTTTCTCAAGGGAAATAATTATGACCTTAACTGTTGGTGGATTACTGGGAGGAATCAAACTTTGTGAAAGCAAACTAATTCAACAAGCAGAAGATAATAATGCTATACCATACCTAAGCATGCTCTAAAATATACGAGGGTGTAGACCACCAGACAGACCAAGAACAAGATGGAAAGATAGCATCAGCAAAACTCGACAACAAATTAATGTGGCTATGCTCACTGCGGCTTGAAAAAAAAAAAAGCAAGAAGCTGAACCTCGTATCTTCCTCGACAGGTGAAGCGGTAAAGGAGGAAGTAAACAAGAAGGAAGAGATAAAGAAGACGGAAGAGAATCCACATTTCCAGTTCATAGAGCACATCACATTCACCATTGATGGGAGACTAATGTAACAACGGTTGTCCTTTTGCCCTTACAAACATAGGATAGGCATCATGTACCTATAGATTTTAAAGCGTGGACACTGGTTCTTTTAGTTGACTTTTCATCATCAGTTCTCGTTATGCCTAGTGGCACATGAGGCTTCAGAAAGGACTTTCCATGCTTTCCTGTCCTGTGCAATCTTCAATGCAGTTTTCCATGTCAAAGATGCCGCACTCAGGTCACTTTCCATCCTTCGTCTCCGTGTTGTTTTTGGGCGCCCCTGTTTTCTCTTTCCCTCTGGTGTCCATGTGAGAGTTGTTTTGGCAGGTATATCAGAAGTCATTCTCATAACATGGCCAAGCCATTTCCATCTTCTCTTGGTAATCATACTGTCTAAAGTTTCTTGGTTTGTGGTTTGAAGTAGTTTAGTGTTTGAGATTGTATCTGGCCAGAAAATTTTGATAATTCTACGTAGACATGTGTGGTGGAAGATGGACAGCTTGTGTACATCTTTTTTGGTCATTCTCCAGCATTCCGCTCCATAGAGAAGAACTGGCAAAATGATGCTCTTGTGGAATCGGAGTTTCGTTCCTCTGCAGTAATTGTTGGATTTCCAGATTTGCCTCATCCTTCCAAAAGCAACTCTAGCTTTGTTCAGACGTGACTGTATGTCTTCCTCTGTCCCTCCCAGTAGGGACACCCCACTGCCAAGATACGTGAAATGTTCTACATTTTCAAGTGATTGGTGATTTATGGTCACTGGTTGTTGGTTTGGACTGTTTGTCATGATCTTAGTTTTCTTTGTATTTATTCTCAGTTCCACCATTTCTGCTGTGCAGTTTAGTCTGTTACTTTTCTCTTGTATATGTTCATGTTTATGTGATAGGAGTGCTGTATCATCTGCAAAATCAAGGTCCTCAAGCATGGTGAATGGAGTCCATCGTATGCCTCTTAATGTCCTATCTACTGTGTTCTTTAGTATCCAATCGATCACAAGGTTGAAGAGGAGAGATGACATAACACATCCCTGTCTTACACCCGTCTTTACTGGGAAAGATGTATTGTAATTTTTTTATACTGCAGGAAAAGTCTTTATAGAAGAGAGCAATTATGTTGACTATTTTTTCTGGAATTCCATAATGTCGTAAAATTTTCCACAGACCGTCTCTATGGACGCTGTCAAAAGCTTTCTCAAAGTCCACAAAATTAATATATATACTTCTCTGCCATTCGTTGCATTGTTCTAAAATGTTCCTTATGGCGAAGATGTGCTCAGTTGTTCCTCTGCCCTTTCTGAATCCTGCTTGTTCCACTCGTAGGCATTTATCTACTCCTTTTTCAAGCCGCATTACTTGACTTTTACAATGACTAAAAAGAAAAGTGAATGTTTGCTGTATGTGAAATTTCTTTGCCCCATAAACAACATGTTTTATCCCACAGGTATCGGTGTGTCCATGTGTATCATCTCCCTCATCGTGGCCATCTACTACAACGTCATCATGGCATACACCTTGTTCTACTTCTTCTCCTCCATGCAGGGGACGCTACCCTGGACTGAGTGCACCCAGGTATTGTTATTTCCCCTAATACAAGCGAGTTTATATTTAATTTGAATTTAATTTGTATGAGTCACTAAGGAATATTCTCAGTAGATATATTTCAGCAAACCTCCTTGGCAGGCACATTTTCTTTAAGAACAAACCAGTATACTGGACACTGTACGTCCCTGTGAGTCTAATCCCATATATCATGACCCACTCCCTCAGAATCAAAAGAAGACAGGATTGAACCTTTTGAAATTGTAATGGTGGTTCTTTACTGTCATTTCACAGTTCTGGGGCACACATTTATTACCATGGCTCACCAGTCCTCTCTAATATTCTATATGTAAATGAGGTTTTATAATAGTGGACACATACCTAATGACCTTTTGAAATCTTTCTCCTTTACCAATAAAATATGGTCCAATAGAATGTTAAGAACATCAAACAATGAGTTGAATCTGTATTGTGCTTTATTGATTACACTAAAGCATTTGATAAAGTGAAACATGGAGAAATTATTAGAATTTTGGAAACCTTTAACACTGAATAATTAAGAAAACATATATTGGCAAAAAGAAGCAGCCATAAGGATTGACTACCAAGTTGGAACTTTTCAAAACATTAAACAAGGCGTTTGACAGAGATATGTACTATCACCTGATCTATTTAACCTGTACAGTGAAATAATAATTAGATCTATACATGGTATACCAGGAATATCAGTTGGTGGGCATATTGTTAACAACCTGCGATATGCAGAGGATATATAGTTTTGATCACTGAAAATTAAACACAACTGCGAGAAATGATGCATAAAATTGTAAAGGAAAGTGACAATAGGGGTCTTAGTTTGGACAGCAGAAAAACACAAGTAATGGTAATAAGAAAGCAAACTGACCCTCCAAAATGCAACATCAAAGTAAATGAGACAAACCTTAAGCAAAGTGATATGTTAAAGTATTTTGGTACCCTGATAACATCAGATGGAAGATGCATTAAAGAAGTTAAATGTAGAATAGCTCAAGCAAAGGTAGCATTTTACAAAATGAAGAATATTTTATGCAATCTTTCTTTGTCAGTTGAGAGGGGAAAAAGAATTCTTTAAAGCTAAATAAATCCTATCTTGATATATGGAAGTGAATCCTAGACAACTGGTGAATTAGTGAAAAATTACTTGATAGCTGCGGAGAGGGGGTTTTATAGATGAATAATGAGAATACCCTGGACAGATTAAAAAAGTATGAAGAAGTCTTGAAAGAAACTAAGACCAAGAGAAAAAGTGCTGGACAATCTGACATCATGGCATGGAGGATCATCTGTGTCAGAGTTGATCGAAAGGTAGACGAGACAGAAGGTTGTGGATATACATGACTACCAGCACCACACGGCATAGACTTTAAGAAGAAGAAAATGAAGATTGCATTGCTTCTACAAACATTTATTGTCTTTTTGCTCACTTTTTCAATTTACAAGAGACATATTTCAAGTAATCAAAGTGCCCACTTCACAGCAAACAGGTCACTCCCATGGCTCCTCAGTTCTTGTGCTAACAACAGCAACAACAAAAAACCCACACATAATGCCCATTTCAGCCCCTTGTAAAATAAATTTACCACAAACTGAAGTCTTGACAAAGCCAAGAACATACACACGCATTAAATGCATAAGGCAGCCATCAGAAGTGCCAACACAAATAATCCACCACTACAAATTCAGTTCATCACTGATGAAAGCAGCAGCTACAACATATAGACACACATTAATGCTAGTCATGGCACATTTGACCATTGTCTTGTTGGTTGTTACCAGTACAAACTGAAACAATAGAGATTGTCTGTATGCCTTTCTCACAGCCGGCATTTTGAAAAGACTTTGACTAACTTATTAATTCTTTCAGTCCTTTAACTCATCATTATTTTAGTCTCCATGTTTTTGTATAAGACATAGATAAAACTATCAAAAGCAAATACAGATAAAGCGATTTTTAAATTTTTAAATTTTTTTAAATTTTTTTATAAACTGTAGGAGTGGATTGACAATTACAGCTGTGCCAAGCGAGTGGCAGACCCACCCTTGTGTACCAACAACAACACCTATAATGAGATGCTGGAGGCGTGCAAATGTACTGGCAACTACAGCGTTGACAGTCAGCTGACAGTTAACTGTACCCAGGTACTAACCAATGCTACCACTGCAGCAGAAAACTTCTTTCTGTAAGTTTCCGAGTTTTTGGTAATCTGTTAGAGTGTGTGGTAATCTGTTAGAGTGTGTAGTCTTCTGTTAGAGTGTGTGGTAATCTGTTAGAGTGTGTGGTAATCTGTTAGAGTGTGTGGTAATCTGTTAGAGTGTGTGGTAATCTGTTAGAGTGTGTGGTAATCTGTTAGAGTGTGTGGTAATCTGTTAGAGTGTGCAGTCTTCTGTTAAAGTGTGCAGTCTTCTGTTAGAGTGTGTGGTCTTCTGTTACAGAGTGTGTGGTCTTCTGTTACAGAGTGTGTGGTCTTCTGTTACAGAGTGTGTGGTCTTCTGTTAAAGTGTGTGATCTTCTGATAGAGCGTGTGTTCATCTGTTAGAGCATATGGTCATCTGTTAACATGTGTGGTCATCTGTTAAGATGACAGGTCATTTCTCTCCCAAATCTTCACATATTCTCTCACTGAACACTTGTTACATCCATGTAAAATTTACTGAACTTGTTCTATTCTGCAGGCGAGAAGTCATCCAGAAATCAGAAGGCATCGAACCCGAGAACATGGGCAACCCACTGTGGAAGCTTACACTTTGTCTCCTGGCATCATGGCTGGTTGTCATCTTCTGCCTCTTCAAGGGCATTAAGGGTTCCGGAAAGGTCAGACATAAGACCTGTAATGTTGGTTTATAGAGGAGCTGCTGTGTGATAACATCTGTTGTCTGTTGGTTTATAGAGGAGCTGCTGTGTGATAACATCTGTTGTCTGTTGGTTTATAGAGGAGCTGCTGTGTGATAACATCTGTTGTCTGTTGGTTTATAGAGGAGCTGCTGTGTGATAACATCTGTTGTATGTTGGTTTATAGAGGAGCTGCTGTGTGATAACATCTGTTGTCTGTTGGTTTATAGAGGAGCTGCTGTGTGATAACATCTGTTGTCTGTTGGTTTATAGAGGAGCTGCTGTGTGATAACATCTGTTGTCTGTTGGTTTATAGAGGAGCTGCTGTGTGATAACATCTGTTGTCTGTTGGTTTATAGAGGAGCTGCTGTGTGATAACATCTGTTGTCTGTTGGTTTATAGAGGAGCTGCTGTGTGAAAACTTCTATTGTCTGTTGGTTTATAGAGGAGCTGCTGTGTGATAACATCTGTGGTCTGTTGGTTTATAGAGGAGCTGCTGTGTGAAAACTTCTATTGTCTGTTGGTTTATAGAGGAGCTGCTGTGTGATAACATCTGTTGTCTGTTGGTTTATAGAGGAGCTGCTGTGTGATAACATCTGTTGTCTGTTGGTTTATAGAGGAGCTGCTGTGTGATAACATGTGTTGTCTGTTGGTTTATAGAGGAGCTGCTGTGTGAAAACTTCTATTGTCTGTTGGTTTATAGAGGAGCTGCTGTGTGATAACATCTGTTGTCTGTTGGTTTATAGAGAAGCTGCTATGTGATAACATCTGTTGTCTGTTGGTTTATAGAGGAGCTGCTGTGTGATAACTTCTATTGTCTGTTGGCTTATAGAGGAGCTGCTGTGTGATAACATCTGTTGTCTGTTGGTTTATAGAGGAGCTGCTGTGTGATAACTTCTATTGTCTGTTGGTTTATAGAGGAGCTGCTGTGTGATAACATCTGTTGCCTGTTAGTGTACAGAGGAGCTGCTGTGTGATAACATCTGCCGTCTGTTAGTGTATAGAGGAGCTGCTGTGTGATAACATCTGTTGCCTGTTAGTATATAGAGGAGCTGCTGTGTGATAACATCTGTTGTCTGTTAGTGTACAGAGGAGCTGCTGTGTGATAACATCTGTTGTCTGTTAGTGTACAGAGGAGCTGCTGTGTGATAACATCTGTTGTCTGTTAGTGTACAGAGGAGCTGCTGTGTGATAACATCTGTTGTCTGCTAGTGTACAGAGGAGCTGCTGTGTGATAACATCTGTTGTCTGTTAGTGTATAGAGGAGCTGCTGTGTGATAACATCTGTTGCCTGTTAGTGTATAGAGGAGCTGCTGTGTGATAACATCTGTTGTCTGTTAGTATACAGAGGAGTTGCTGTGTGATAACATCTGTTGCCTGTTAGTGTACAGAGGAGCTGCTGTGTGATAACATCTGCCATCTGTTAGTGTATAGAGGAGCTGCTGTGTGATAACATCTGTTGTCTGTTAGTGTACAGAGGAGCTGCTGTGTGATAATTGTGTTTTCTATTGGTTTATAGAGTAGCTGTGTGTGATAACTTCTGTTTTCTGCTGGTTTATAGAGTAGCTGTGTGTGACATCTTATATTTTCTGTTAGTTTATTCTGATGTTGTGAAACCATAAAGTTGTGTTCCTATTTTGTTATTTTTATGTCAGCATAACATAACCCTGTCTTCAGGGTCTCTTGTATTGCCATACAATTCCATTATGTTCAATTGTTGATAATTCTGATCCCCTCATAACATGAAGTTGTGTTTTCTGTTGGATTATTTTCATGTTGCAATACCACCACTCCCTTTTTCATGTTGGGGCCCTGTTTAGGACAGGTTAGGGGAGGGGGTGGGAGGTGGTGTTGCCACCAACAAGAATGTCATAAAACAGCTAATTAAAGTTGAGTGCATCTGCCTGAGAGACGAGGAACCAATAATGTACATATACTGTTTAAAAAAAAAGAAGCGCATAGTTCCTGAAAGGAAAAAAACATACTTACAATTTTGATATTCTGCATCTTTGTAATGCAGTAAATGAAACTACTCAACTTACTAACCTAACATTAAGTTATCTGAGTGCATGATAAAAACATATAGTGTTTGTTTATATGTAAGCTTCTCTATTTAAATTAATAATTATAATGCAGTTTGTTTGTCTTTCTTCAAGGTTGTGTATTTCACTGCTACGTTTCCATATGTCATCCTCCTCATTCTGCTTATCCGGGGCTCACTGCTAGATGGTGCCATTGATGGAGTCAAATTTTTCATTGTCCCTGAATGGGAGAAACTCCAGGATATATCTGTAAGATTTTCATATTTATGATAATATACAAGTAATAGATCCATCTTGTTTTTACTCTTTTCATTCACTTGGAATCAGATTATATTTGTATTTTCTTTGAATGCAGTTAGTTGTGTATCCTTTACAGGACATTGCAGAACCAGCCCCAGCATTTTTTGCCGTTGTAGTTTTCTAGGCAAATATACATCCCATAGTTTGCCATTACTTTCTGGACAGTCACCTTCTCGATACCACTGTCGAAACCAGCCCAAGGCTCGCAGCTGGGATCAAACATGGCACCCTGGAATTACGAAGCATATTCCCAATGCCTAAGCCACAGACGCCGACTGTGAAGGTAGACTTAACTATTTTTAAAGGCACAGTTTTAGCTTCCAGTCACATCTTCTGATACGTAAACTTTAGTTGAAACTCTAGGAATTAGCATGTCATTAACATGGAAATGAATGCAGTGTGGGATACCTCAGAAATGGAGAAACTAAGGAACCATTTGTGGAAACATTTTGGTCACATTATATGTCTCAGTGGCTGTGAAAAAAACAGTAATGAAATGTATGGCTAGTTAACAAAACAGGTAGGAGCTGGTGAACATAAAGTTGTACCAGGGATATTAAAGATACCATTGACAAGAAAATGTTTCACAAGCAGAACTTGTGAAAGTTCAGGAGTCTTCTTAATGGATTGAAATGAGAGCCAATTTCTGCAGCACACCTGGTACATGATGGTGATTGTAGTATAGCATTAGTAAATGAGAAGAAAATATTTCCCCATTTAGCCAGTTCTGATGCATCTGCCTGTTAATATTTATAGCTAACATTTATGAAATAGTCAGTGTTTAACAACTTATATCCGGCCTAAGTTGGATAACAGATATGTCATGTGAGGCAAAGGCATGATATTGATCACATCATCCACTAAATGCTGAGTGGTCGACTGAAAATATAGGTCAAGTACTTTATTTTTTTTTTTAAGTTTTAAAACAATTTTATTGAGTGTTAAAATTGGTCTGTGTACAAGGTTGTGTGGTTTCTGTATTGTACGTATTTAATATACAGGCGTCTGCGATGTGCGTATTTTGTTTAGTGTTCTATACATATGTTGCCATGTGTGAATATTGGTGGTAACTTTATGTGGCATATGTGACTGCTGCAAAAAAGTGTCTTTTACTACTTGTGTGTATGACTTCACAATCAAGGATCTTTTGAAAAGTGATGCTCCTACAGGATGAAATCAACCTTTAAAATGATATCACTTGTATTTGCAGGTGTGGGTGGATGCCGCTGGCCAGATGTTTTTCTCTCTCAGTGTGTCATTTGGTGGTATCATCATGTTTGGTAGCTACAACAAGTTCAGGAACCAAGTCTACTAGTAATAATTTTTTTTTTGTAACTTTGTAGAATTGTTCCGTTTATTGATGATGATATTTATACCCACTGTTTCATTTTCTTCTTCTGCGTTCATCTGAAGATGTAATTGCGTTGTGTCCGTTTACTGCATGGCTGCGATATTTGCACCTTTCGGCCAACACATCCGACTTCTGTAGGCATTTGTTGACCGGGTTAGCCTTCCCGGTGACACACACTATTCAAGTCTTTATCTGTTACACAACATATGGCAACTCATTATCTACTAGATAGGCACCAAAGATTTATTGTTACTTCAAACATGATACTCTTTTCTTACACTTGATGTTCTAGAGCGTTATTACATAAACAGTCTGGACTCTGAAATATGGACTGAACGAAAAGGCTGAAAACAAACTTGGAGGATTTTGTATATGGTGTTATTATTTGAAGGAAGAAAAAAAAATGCTAGAGCTCAAATGAAAGAAACATGAAAGACATTGAAGAAATTTACAACTAGCAAAGACAATTATACCACACACACATACACACACATGCACGCACATGTGCATAAACACGTACACACACACACACACACACACACACACACACACACACTTAAAGTAAACTGTCTAAGACTGGTGACAAAATAAGATATGGCAGCCTGTTATTGAAAATACTGAAGGAAAACATGCAGGGAAACAAAATAAAAGAATATCCAGGCAACTACATAATACTTTGCCATGGGGCAGTCAGGAAGAATGCTGACAACAGCTGCATCCAGGCTTTTAAATACATTAATAGTAAAAGCTGAAGACCCAGCTACACACACATGCCGTGATTGTAATGGACTCACTGAACATCATAAGAAAGGGGAAGTCTTGCATATTGCATGCAGAGTGGCCTGCTGCATTTTGGAGGTTAATAATACATAGTGCTCTTTAGATCTTTGCTGGAAGGCATGCCAGTGTGTTGTGAAACTGTTGATACTAGTTATAGGACAGAGAAGATGGTGCTATATTTGACATCTACTTTGAAATTATCCTACAGCGACTCACTTCTAGTCAGTAGTATGGACTTGGTTACCAGTCTCATTGCAGGATTTGTTGTCTTCACCACTTTCGGGGGCATGGCAAAGATCATCAACAAGAAAGTCAGTGAAGTTGCTAAAGCAGGTACACATATTCATGTTATATTAATAATACAATACTGCATACTCATCATCATCATCCTGTAACGTTACGTGTCACTGGGTCACCAGTTTTTGTTGGCTGTCTGATCATCTCTCTCCACCTTTAGTGGTCAGTTGCAATGGACTTCATGGTTGCATGCCTGAGGCCTGTCTAGTCAGGCAGGTTCTGTAACCAGGTCTTTTTTGGTCTGCCTCTTATTCTCTTTCCCTCTACTGAGCCCTGCAGTATTGTTTTTGAGAGGTTTCCCATGTGGGTTCCGGGGCCCTATTATAGGGAAAATAAGAATAGACCCACTGCCTACCCAAAAGCATGTCATAAGAGTCGACTAATTGGGAGCTTCCTTTGAAGTCAGAGTGCATCTGCCTGAGAGGTAAGGAACCAGCAGTCTGTATACAAATGAGTCAGATCTGTAAAATGGATGCACACGCAACACTCAGGTTCTGAAACAGGACTGCAGTCCAGATGTGGATGAACATCCAGAACTTTCCGCCAGAGTTTACAGCTGGTGAACGCTAAGAAGAAGAAGAACAAGTTTTTGAGAGGTCATTAGATCTTATTACATGTCCATACCATATTTTTTGCCTTTTCACTGTAGTTAAAAGAGGTTCATAGTTGCCAATGTGCTGTATAATTTTATAGGGAACCTCTTCGTTTGTAATGAGGTCTCTGTATGATATGATAAGAAATCTTTCTGAAACATCGTATTTCTAATGCTTGAATCTTTATTTCAAGTTTGGCTGTTAAGGCTCACGTTTCACAGCCATATGTAAATGTACTAATAGCTAGTGCTCTGAGCAATTGAATCTTAGTTTTAAATGAAATGTTTTTGGATCTCCATAATGTTTGCTTCTTGGCAAGGACTGATGTTGTCTGGGCAATCCTAGACATGATTTCTGGTCGTGACCCCAAGACACTTAAAATGGACCCTAAATATTTGAAATGAGTCACTTGTTCTAATTTGTGACCTTTAATGTAGATTGGTGAATTCTGCCAGCTGGATTATTAGTCATTACTTTTGTTTTTTGTGTGTGCGTTTATTTTCATGCTATACTTGGTTGATGTTTCATCGAGCAGATTTACAAGCTCGACTAGCTCTTGTTCTTCTCCGGCCAATCCATCGATGTCATCTGCAAACCTTAAGTTTGTTATAGTTCTACCTCCTATACTAACTGCTCCATGATGTTGTTCTAGGGCATCAGTCATAATTCTTTTCTAAAAAGATGTTGAACAGTATTGGAGAGAGAAGGCAGCCCTGCCGGACTCCTACTGTTCTTCGGAACCAGCCTTCTATTTGTCCGTTCACTGCTGGCCTTGGCATAGAGATGTTCTATAGTAGGTATGAGGGTTATACTACATGATGCCAAAATATCATTAAAACTATACATAGAAACTTATATTCACATTCTAAACTGTTCCTGCTTAAGGGATTTTGTCCATGTATTACAAATTTTATTCATATTTTTATCCTCAGGTTATGGTTTGGCTTTTGTGGTCTACCCCGAGGCCCTGTCCAATCTCCCAGTTCCACAGCTGTGGTCAGTCCTCTTCTTCTTCATGTTGTTTACCCTGGGTCTGGATTCTGAGGTATGGTTTATGTGATATCTCTAAAGAACAGCTACATCTTCGTGATTTTTACTAATTAATTAAAATAACTTTGGAATATGTTACTTTTCTGTATACGAAACAGCATTGAAACACACATGCACATATGCATGTATACAGGGGTTATGCTAGTGTAATGGTTAGACACTCACTTGCCAGTCTGGAGAATTAGGGTTCGATTTTACATCAGGTCAGATTTTTTTTAAACTGTCCTTGGCTCCAGTCTTAACACTTTCAGTCCCAGACAGTTATTGCATTATTTCGTTCTTCCTGAGTGATTGTGACTTGAAGCCACTGGATCTAAACGAAGACCAGTAATAATCTTAGTGGTCAAAAATCGTTTAAAACAAATGGTGGGAACAGAGTGAATTAAAGTCAAAACACACAGATTTAAGATAAATTATCAAGTAGTGCCTTGCATATTAAACACATGGTGCGCTGCTTAGTACTGATTGAGTTAAATAGATACAAGGTAATTTTCTTGGAAGTCTGGGAAGCTAACCCAAACAACAAATAAAGTTTGAAGTTTGAACAATGGATCAACATCATGGCACACTGGTAGTAACCCAAGTTCTTCATTGTTCTTGTAGCTCAAGCCTGAGTCTCAAGAATCGCAGCGCACAGGCGATGATCCTGAAATACTTAAATACTTTCGGTAGATTTTTAACTACACATTTTGTCCGGGCAGCACCGTTAGGCTACTGTTTACAATTTCCAGCTGCCAAAACATTTTTTATCTGTGCAACAATACACTCAGGCATCCAATCTCACTACCCAGAGATCCACGTGTGGGTTGTGGGGCCCTGTGGTAGGGAAAAACAAAAATACACGCACTGCCTACCCAAAAGCATGTCGCAAGAGTCAATTAATTGGGAGCTTCCTTCGAAGTCAGAGTGCATGAGTGCATCTGCCTGAGAGGCAAGGAACCAACAGTCTACATACACATGAGTCAGCTTTTTAAAACAGATGTACACACAACACTCAGGTTCTGGAACAAGACTGCAGTCCAGAAGTGGACGAACAACTAGAACTTTCCCCCGGAGTTTACAGCCGGTAAACACGAAGAAGAAGAATACCCTGAGACCAGGGAAAATGACGAGGTCCACGTGAAAAAATCCCAATGCCTGCAGAAGCTGGATGTGTCTGTTGAAAGGTGTAAATATTGCAGCCATGTTGTAAACAGGTATAATGCATTTACGTCTTTGGATGAATGAAGAAGAAGATTTCCTTGGAAGTAAAGGCAAATGGCGAGAAGATGACCTCATGTGCCTCACAGAGTGCTCAATGATGTATAAACATATGAGTCTAGCCTTGTATACTCTGTGTGCCACCAGTCTCAAAGGGTCATTTACTTATTTCATTACCTACTTACAAATCTTTGCCGGCATGTGTTCTGTTATATTATCACATAGACTCATATGTCCAGTATGTATCTGTTATATTATCACATAGACTCATATGTCCAGTATGTATCTGTTATATTACCACATAGACTCATATGTCCAGTATGTATCTGTTATATTACCACATAGACTCATATGTCCAGTATGTATCAGTTACATTTATCATGAAGATGCATAATACCAGTATGTATCCGTTATATTATCAGGAAGATCTATAAATCCAGTATCTTGCTGTTGTATTTATCATAAAGATGTATGAGGAGAAGTCAATAAGTAAGTCACAAATGGTTATGATATGGCAGGAAAATGTAGCTGGTGGTTTCTAAAGGTGTAATCAGGTGACAGCAACATCGAACTTTATGTCTTTGTTTGTAAGGTGGCACTAGGTGTTGCATGCACATTTGCAACTCAAAAAAAAAAAAAATTTGTTTTAACATTTAAAAAAAAAAGGACCTTTGTTATGCAAGTGAAGCCTCTGGCACATTATGCTATATTCACACATTAATAAACCATCACTCTGCATGTGATGTGGTCAACGTCATGCCAGCCAGTTTTACTTCTCAGGACATTACCTGGTATTTTCTTTAGGCTGGGTTGAGCTGCGAATAAAGTTCAAGTCTGAAGAAAATCTGGCCTAATGTGGATTAAAATCTAAGACCTTTTGGTTGACGGGTGAGCCTCTGGCTACTAGACCACTACAGCTCTCCAAGATAAAGTATAGGGAGAAATAATTTAAAAGTTAGTGACAGCTGGCAACTTGATGGGAACAGAGTTTGAGGAAAGCAAAGAGATAAAAAACGTATATGGCTTAGCTAATGGCATAGCCAAGAGGAAGAAACAGGCTGGAATTCAGGAGACCTGGTGAACCAAGATTGCATGGCACATGATGATTATGTTGGTGAAAGTAGACATCTGTGTGTTCATTGCAGTCTAAAACTCACACAACAGTCTTTACCAAGGCACCAGTCACTTAATCTCAGTACTGAAGTGCTTAATTTTGCAATTTGTTAACTTTCATCATCATCATCATTTCCACATTTAATTTTGGCTGTCATGACAAACCAGCATTTCCTTGACCTGTGTATTCACTGTGCATACATATATTCTCTTGATTCTGTTAACCAACAAGTAAAATTATTCTCTCTCCTACAGGGTGGTGATTATGTTGTAACCATTTTAGATTTTTTTGGAGGTGACTTTGCTGTTCTTTTCTTGTCCTGCTTTGAGGTCATATCCGTCATGTGGGTGTATGGTAAGTAACCAGTAAACTTATTGTGATTTTCTGTGTCAGTAAGTATCAGCATTTTTTGGCATGTTATGACAAGAATCAACCTAAAAGCTTGTTCAAAATTGGCAAATAGGGATGAGAAAAGATAGTCGGTGTTTATTAGTAAAGGTCTCAACTTCACTACAAATAGGTCATTACATGATTGTTCAATTCCTCTGCCTGTGAAAACCATATGAACTGTCATTCACTGTCATTCTGAAAAAATCTATCAGTGAGTAATTTTTGTATAAATTCTATTCTATATAATTTGTGTCTGCGTAACAATTGCTGAATTCTTCTTCTTCTTCTTCTTCATGTTCACTGGCTGTAAACTACAGTGGAAAGTTCTGGTTGTTTGTCCAATTCTGGACTTTAAATCTTTTTTCAGAACCTGGATGTTGCATGTGTATCCGTTTTATGGATATGACTTATTTGCATGCAGCTGTTGGTTCCCTGCCTCACAGGCAAGGTGCTCTCCAACTTCGAAGAAAGCTCCCAATTAGTCAACCTTACAACATGCTTCTGGGTAGGCAGTGGGACTATTCTTGTTTTCTCTTTTAGGACTCCAAAACCCACATGGGGAATTGCTGAATTATCTCTATGCAAATGTTTATGTTTAAATTAAATATAAAATGTCTGAATGATTCAGCATAAGTTTTGTACAACTGTATCTGTGAATCTTTATGTATAAATTCTGTATAAGTTTTATATATGCAAATGTTTCTTTACAAATTATGTATGTACTGTCTGTGTATTTTTCAGCATAAATTATGTGTAACAAACTGCTTTTATTTCTCTCAGTTGCTATTTGTCTACCGAATGATCAACTACTCTCCACCGGCATACGACAATGGCACACCATACCCTGACTTTGCTCAAGCCCTTGGCTGGGTAGTCTTGACCATCGCCTTGTGTCCTGTGCCACTGGGATTTATGTGGCGACTCCTGAAAGGAATACAAAACCCAGCAGTCACAAACGCCAAGGAGGTCAGTTGCATTTTTGCTTTCTTTTTTTTAGCCTTCTCTGGTGGGACTTAGTTACTGAGCTGGGTTGACTTGAATCAAGAATTGACATCATAGCACCTGGGATATTCCTCATAATTTGGCATATGGAGGTGGAGGCAGTCACTACTACCTCTGAGAATCAGCTGTACACGCATGTCATAATTGTAACTGACTCACCAAGTATATTGAGAAAGGCGGAGACAGCAGGCTCTGTGCTGAGTGGCAAGCATCGCTCCAGACCATGAGTAATTAGTGTCCCTTTGATATTTTCAGGTCAGGCTGGTTTGTTGGGAAACGAGCAGGTAAATCGACTAGCCAGTTCAGCATCATTTGATATTGAATTGATGTATCACAAGCTAGATGTCGTGAGGACCCTTAGGGAACCAGTGAACAGTGTGACAAAAGATGATTATGGTCTGAGAAGAATAGTGTTGCAAGGGAATCTGGCCGACGCTCAACACTCAAGGGAAAGACTAGACAGATGTACAATCAGACAGTTACTGGTAACATCAGAAGTGTTCGCTTGCTGCTGATGATGGGGACGGAGTGTTTATGGAAGTGTCCAGAGTGCTATGATGTTTATTCCTAATTCAGTATTCAACATTCATTTTCAGCAGCCAGCCAAGAGTTCTGTTTCTAATAGTATGAATAGCAGTCTGATTATATGTTTGTCTTGCCTTTCCTTTGAATGTAGAGCCAAATTCCCTAGTCACTTCCTACCAGACCATTCTTTCCATACCATAATGATCTACCTACTCTTCCACGTTGCTCACTTGCTTCCAAAGGATCTAGCTGGCCATGGAAAAGTCAATACAAGATGCAGTTCATCACTATCATCTCATCCCTTAAACCTGAACATGCACCACAATAATGTAAGATGGAAGCATCACTATTCATCTCTACCATTGTGTCCCTAATAAACAAGTAACATTGAAGGGTGTATTAAACTAACAGTGAATGTATCTTTCACCACAATGATGTAAGATGGAAGAATACCTATTCAAACTCCATCACTGTGTTCCTAAAAACAAGTAACAGTGAAGGATGTACTTCTCACCAATGGCATATTGAGCATATGGTGCTCAATCCATAATAAACACACTAGTTGGAACTCAGTGCGTGATGTAGTGAACACAATGCTCACTGCCTCGATTTCCTAAGACATCCACTACGGTGGCTCTCCTCTGCACATTTATTGATTTAAAATTCCACCCCCCCCCCCCCCCCCCAGTTTCCTGGGACTGATCTGGAAACTTAAGTGTTGAACATCTCATTTGATCTGACATATGACTGTGTGACTGAAGTTGGCAATTATAATTATTAAACAGTTTCATTGTAGCTCAATGAATGGCTCCCTTAGATGTGAGACTCACAGGCAATGTTTTTTTTTTTTAGTTGTAATAAGTGTTTAAACAAAAAATTGAATATTCACAAGTCCTTAATAGTTGCTAGGGAACCTCTCACGAACCTGCCCAAATGGTGAGAGTTCCTTTCACTCCTATTCATGCCACGGTGAGTAACATGGCCTGTCCTATGTTGTAGGGATGTTATGAGATAGCTTCATTTGGCGTTTGCTTGCCGTATATACTGTTTGTGGGAGGTTGTATTGTCATAGGTCCTTTTGAGGTACCGCAGGCACCTGTGTATAAGTAAGAAGTACTGCAGGGTGAAGTGCCGAATGTGCAACTGTTCATAAGTATCAAAACTAGGATGTTTTTGTATTTCTACATTCCTTGGTGGTGGTTCCATCCCCCCACCCCCATCCACAAGGAAAAGAAGCCAGCTGACAAGGAATTAAGACACACAAAAAACATCAGTTTCAATACTTATGAACTGCCTGCAAGTAGCACAATTTGGAAATAACCATGCAAGTAAGTGTTGACAACACCACAAAATAAACAATGGTTAAACCATTGAAAATAAGAAATATTTGACACCCCCACATTATAGGACAGGCAGTGCGACCTGCTGCAGCATGAATGGAAGAGGAAGGAACTCTCACCATGAGGACAGGTTCATGATAAGTACCGTAATGGTATACTAGTCTAAATCATTTGAAAAATATCTGAATATCTGCTTTAAAATCAGAAAACTGTCCTCTGGTAATTTGCTACTTGTTATTGTCATCTCTAGATGTGTCATTTCCTGTTTTCACCGACCCCCCAGTGGAGGCCTAATGACAAAGCCGAGAGGACTATACTTCCAGAAGGAGCAGCAAATGGCCAGGATTTCCACATGGACAAGCAAAATGGCATCAACGGAGGATACGACAATCTAGGACTAGATTTGGAAAAGGCGTAACTAGGGACAACAATTCTCCTGCTTTTAAACAAAATTGAATTGTCATTCGTAAACATTCCTGTTTGTGCATATATTTCCATTACATAAATACACTGTATCAATCTGCACTTTAAAAAAAAAAATGTACATCTTGAACAGTTGGCAATATTCTTTTTTTTTTTAACATTAAAAATACTAATTTCCCAAGTGCAAGAGTTTGCAGCCTCAGAATATCAGTTATTTCTCTCCAAATAATAACACTCTTGTTCAGAAGGAGATAAGTAATAGGAAGGACATAGGTTTAGGCTTAGACAACGGATCAACATCATAGCACAAGGGGTCCGTTCTACTTCTAACTCAGACCTGAGTCCGTAGCAGCACCGGCAAGGATCCTGAAATACTTTGGGTAGACTTTAAACTCTAAATTATGCCCGCGCAGCGCCATTAGGCTACTCTTTTTTATTAGAGGGACACAAAAGTTTCAAGCAACAACCAGTGGAGTAGGTACAGGTAATAATTTGCTATACATTAAATGGCAACAGTGTACATTATATATCTTATGAACAAACACTATTTTCCAATTAAATACATAGGGTTAAACAGAATACTATTTATCCTGTGCTATCCTAGCCAGATATAACATTTTAAAACGGATATTAATCCAGGCCAGTAATACACAGTTTGGAGAGAATATTAGTCCTGGCAATGGGGTGTGCAAAGAGATTTTTTGTCAGCTTTGCCTAATATTTGTATTAAATGTATACATTTTATATGAATGTGCATGTCTTTAATTTCTCGTTGCTGCAGAAATAATATTTCTTTTGAAGCAGAAGTAATGTGCGACATTAATGATTTTCAGTGTTCATTAGCTGACAACTCACTCCACATTTTAAGGAAATTATCATCATTAAATGCTGATTTTTCTTGTACACCAATGCTCAAGTTAACTAGGAGTAGCATTCATTATGGTTGTGGCCATTTGTAATGATTTCTTCATTGAAACAAAGTATAAAATTAGCGTGAGAAATTTCAAACCAGATAGAAAGTGAAAACATTACCCAGGAAACTAAATTAGTGACCCCACCTGATGTTAGTACCATCTAGCAAAGTAGCAGCAGTGGTAGCATAGTAAGTAGTTCATTCACTTACCACACCATAGTGCTGGTTCAATACAACAATAGTTATTGATAAGCATAGCCCTAGAATTAATAGGGCTGGTTAGCTGTCAGTTATGTATAGCCATTTTAGCGCAAGAAAAAGATTTTTTTTTAAGCAAAAATTATTTGTCATATTTACAGAAGCAATCACAGTAGACAAAGGTAGCCTTCATCGGCAGAACAATTATGAGAAACAAGACACACCAGACACAAAATAAAATGATTCTAAAATGAATGCATTGCAGTTTTAAAATATTATGTAAACAAATATACGAAAATAAACATAAATGACAGAATTATATAAAGTGTGTGATACCTACGTGGACCAATCAATATGCATTTTATAATGCCTTTTTCAATGTTTAAATGGAACATTAACATAATATTACCTTTCTACGGTAAAATAAAACTGACTGTATAAAGTGTGACAAGTTCTGGCATTTTTTACGAGATTTTCATGTCGGTTATTTTTTTTTAAATCCATTGTCACATAACCAGATCATGCATAAACTGTAATACAAACAAAAAATAACCACCAGCAAATAAACCAAAAGCCAGGCAGTTCCTGGTGGTCTGGTGTCTGATTTATGGCTGTGGAGTCATAAAGATACCAATTAGACATTTGTCCCTACAAACCAGTGACACACAAATCTTGTATATAAATATTATTAATCATTATCGTCATTGTCCTGTTGTGTCATTAGATGTCACATAGGGCTGGTTGTCTATTCCTCCATTCCTTTCTATCCTTTGCAATCTCTTTAACATCTTGGAAAGAATCCAGTCCAGCACCTTTGGCCTCTCTCGTCAGTGTTCACCTCAGTGTTTGTTTTGGACGTCCTTGCTTTCTAAATTCATTAACTTATGATTTGAGTGCCTAACTTGTATTTCTCTGCTGGGTTCTTTTCAGAATGTATCCAATATAGCACTATCTAACGTTAGAGTCCTCCCCTCGTGGGATGCAACTTTTTGTTATTTTGAAGCCCCCACCCTGGCTTATGGCAGGGGCCCTGAATATGGCCAGGCCCTAAATATGGCCTAGCCTAATGGCTGAAAGGGCTTTCTGGAACCTCATCCGCATGGTGGCACTTTGTGTCACCGGGTTTTTATTGCTTGTGTGATGTCCTGGTGGAGTACAACTACCTACCTACCTACCTAGCACCATCTTCTTTGTCTTATAACTGCTGTGCAAACATTTCTGATTTCTTAAGCCCCACTTGAATTCATCTATTTTATGTTCAAGATTTTCAGATACTTATTTTGAAATGCATTTAACTTTTGTTTCATGTCATTACTGGTTCTTCAACTTTCACTGGCAAATGTTAAAACTGAAATACAATTTTTACATTTGTGTTTATTTATTGCTTTGGTTTGAAGGTCATGCTCTATCTGCAGCTATTTGCCTAGATGAAATCCCTCCAATTCTCTGGGTCAGCAAGGAAGCCCAGAACCTCTGCCTCAGCTGCAAAGCTAATGTCTCACACTCCATTACAGGTCTCATTCCTTCATTATATACTTGTTGTTTCCATCATGATGCTGTTTATTTCAAAGCTTCCATTGGTTGTTTTTTTTCCTTTCTTTTTTGCATGAATGCTTCAATCCCGTCAGTGCTGTTTTATACATATTTTCTACTGCCTTATTGGTTTCCCTTCTGTTTATTTATGTTTCCTAGGGAACCATTTGATTCTAATAAATGTACAATTACCTGCCTATGCATTTGTAGTTTTACTGCTTATTTCAGATTTTACTACAAGTAACATTTGTTACCGTTAGTGTCATTGTATTGGTAACTATTACAGTTATCAAGACAAATTTGTCAATATTATTTTTAGCCAGACATTTTCATATTGTCATGATTAGTATGTTTTTGGAACATCTGTCTTTTGTTGTTAGGAAAATTCATGAACAGAACAAGAACAGAACTATTTGTTTCACATTGTTCTGAGTGTTAACAATAACCGCTGATGAATATTTATATCACACCCCGGTCCTCCAGGTTAGGGGAGATGAAGCATGGGGCCGATACCCATACCTTTGTAAAATCCTGTTTTAGTATAAATCATATATCTAAGCCTCAAATTCAGACAAATGGAGGCAGGAGATATCTGTAGCAATGAACCTAAAGGGCTGGGAAAGCTGAAGAAGAGAAAGTTGAAGATATGTATATCACTGTCAGATAGATTTTAGAAACAGTGTATGCTTTTTTGGAATGTATAATTGCAAACAACAGAACATATAAATAAATAAATGAGAGAGATGGACCAAGTATCTTTGAACACTTTCGACCCCAGAGAGTCAGAAAGCAAGGCAATTTAAAAAATGCTGTAAAGTCAGTTAGAGTAACAAAGTAATAATTTTTTCAAGTCACATACAAATTAGAGTACTATAACTTTCTAAAGTCGGGTAACAAATAAAGTGATAAGTTTATTTAGTCAGAAGTAGAGTTTTATCAAACCAAGAATGGCAACTGAATTAATTAATAGCAATAACCAAAATACAGATGTTAAGATTAAAGATCAGTACAACCATGAATACTTAGCCTAATCAGATTTCAATGAGCCACCTTTATGTACTGTTGTATATTTTGTTTCTTAAAACAGTCGCTGGGTTAGGTTTAAGTTAGTCTCCCAAAACAAAGTAGGTCAGGTTTCATTCACAAGTTTGTTGGGCTAGTCTACTTTCGTGTAGGTTACGGGTGTGCCACACTGTTGTTTGCTCTCTGTTTTTTCTTTTTTAATTTTCGTTTTTATTCCCAGAAAGAGAATGCCTGTGACATAAGTTGCTGCACTCTCTTTGAGGGTTGCGTTAGACCCAATTTGTCCATGTTTTTGGAGTGTTAAAAGCGCTGGCCATCTAAAATATACAACACATGATATCAACAGCATTGTGGAACACCCCTTGTGCTAAGGCGACAGGTTCAAAAACTACCAATCAGAAGTGAGCTAGTGTGTATATGGGCAGTCCGTGGGGAGACTAATGTTAGTTTTATACAGTAGCTGATATAAGCTATGATAATTTAACAATGGCTTGCATGTCCTTTATTGTTGTTGTTGTTGCATTAATGATGTCTCCTTTAAAAAATGCACCAATCCCTAGTGACTCCAGATCATATGAGCATGGCTCCATGCTAACTGGTCAGTACTGATAAAATCAAAAACTTGGATCAAGCTTTTACTGTCAAAATCTATACCATGATCTTTGCCCTCTGTTTTAAACTGGACATAGAAAACACATTTGCAGATTCCATGGGCCTGGAAATCATTGACACATATCAAACAGTGCCATTTTAATTTAGCTTTTTAACTGACAAACCATGTATTTTGTGTGTGTTTGCATTTGTATGTGTGTGGGACTTTGTGTTAATGCATGTGTGTGAGTCTGTATGTGCGCATACGTGCATATGTGATACTGACTGAACTATTCTGGAAAGTGTGCACATGACCATCAGCACTACATTGAAACAGACATAAAGACATGAATCAAATCATCTCATTAAATATATCAATGTAAAGACTGATCTCATCTTAACATGCACTTAAGTTGTTGTAAATAAAATAAAAAATTTCATAAATAAACTATACAGACAACACGTTTTTGTTGGTGTTTTCTTTTAGCTTTATTTGTATCTCATCTCACAAAGTGCCAAAAGCAGGTATCCTACCTGTTAAAAATTACAAACTTGTGGCTATTAAAAAAATGTCTGCAGCCAACACTACACATCAGCCAGAAATTGCTCTTAAGGATAAAGGTTATTTGCGTATTCTTTAAAGGACATTGCAGAACTAACCCCAGCAGCCCCTGGTTGTTGTATGGTTTCTCTAGGCAAATAACGTCCAGTAGTTTGCACACTAAAGAATAAAGACA